GGTTTTGGTACTTAGGTAATTACAAGATGTGTTTAAGGATTCACATTTTAGGTGTAGATGCTTTTACTTAACTTCCAGGTAATAGGATTTGAAGAGAAAAAGGTAACAAGATGAATATGTTTCTCGTCTCACCAAGTAGGGCTTCTTTTTGTTGGCTGTGAGCCAACTGTAGGCTTTACACTCAATAATTCAAATGTTGACTAGATAAATGAATAATTATCTGCTTCTGTTGGCACATAAAGAGGTCGTTATTCTAGTAATTTTGGAAGAGTTTTGCATGTTCCAAAACAAAATATTATATGAAATAATGATCTGTATGCAGAAAACTGAAGAAATCCAGCATAAGGTATTAAGATACTGAGAACTAGAGACAGATAAAAGCATTTGCTTATCAGTTGGGACCAAATTCTGTCTCTTTCTCTGTCCTTAGTTAGGAAAAACTGACTTTTCAAAGTGTGTATTTTTCTTTGTTTGTTTGACTAAGTGCTTTTTTTTTAAAGATAGTCTGACTCATACCCCCAGAGAAGGAATTTAATTTGTAAGAAGTTTATTTGATGTCTTGTGCGCAGAATGAGTCACACTTTCATTTGGGCAAATTGGGTGAATGTCATGAATCCAGAGGAAAGAAGGGGTCCATCTCTTTGGAATTCTGCCTTCAAGGCAGAAATCTGAAGAAGAAACATGTGTAAACTAAAAAATACTGTGTGTTAGGAAGGGGAAAAGGTTGCAAAATCTTGTATTTGTGTACAATTATGCTTATAACATACTAACATACTCTTGGTAGACAACTTGAAGTCCCCTAGGACCTAACTAGTGATTTTAAAATAAATCACGTATGCATGTGGATGAATCAATCTATTATCTATCTATCTATTTATCTACATATATATTGGAAAGGAAAGGAGAGAGTGAAGAAAGAAAGGTGGAATGGAGGAGAGAGAGTGAGGGAGAGGAGGGGAGATATCATATCATTGTTTTGTTTCACTTCCTAACTACTTGTAACAAGCAGGATTGGTTCAGGCCAAAGCAGGAACACCAGATTTAATCTGGGCCTTCAACATGGATGATAGAAACTCAAGCATTTGAACCATCACCCGCTTTCTCCCAGGGTGAGCATTAGCAGAAAGTTGAAATCAGGAGCCAAACTGGGGAACTCAAACCAGCCTTGTGGGATGTGGATGGGATATGCCACTTGGCGTCTTAACGCCAAGTGCCTACCCCAGAGTGGAACATATTTTTTTTGTCTTGTGTTGTGCTGGTCTTGAAATTTCATTGTTTTGGAGGCTTGTCAATCCTGGGCATTTGCTTTTTTTTTTTTTTTTCCAATTGTGTAACAGTCTTCCTTTAAGATACCCTAAAAGTCATATGTTTCCCTCTGCAAATTGTAGACAATTCCATTTGCATTACCCTGCTGTCAGAGAACAAGGACTATGAAGAATCTGCAATGTCCAAATGTTTCTGGCTCCTGCTAGATGCCTCAGTCAAAGCAGAAGTCATCCAGATTCTGCTGTTAATTCTGTAGAAAAAAAGAGGAAGAGTTGATAGTGACTCAGCTGTCCTGGTTAGTGAACATAAACATAATTAGCTTTTTAAACCCAGATAATTAAAAGAGCCTCGACATTAATCTCTTCTATTTTTCTTTGTAGTGTTTTATCATCTTTCTAGGGATTATATTTTTAAAATGTCACAGAGCCTTTGAGAAAGAAATTATCTTTTATACATGTACCATTACTTTTAAAAAATCAAGCATGCATAATTAATGCTACATAGAAAACAATAGACAAGTACAGTGGTTATTCAGGCAAAGGAGAAGTATTCACCTAGGTAAACACTATTGTTCGGTTACATTGTCAAAATGTTATTTTTAGAGCCTTTCTGTGCTAGAATATCTATTTAATCATGTCTTTCCCAGATGAATGGTTCATTTCTTGAAGTAACAAAAGTAATATCTGCTTATGATTACAAGTCAGGAGATGTTAAAAAGGTACTGAAAAGAGGTTAAAAGTCTCCATTTCCCCTACTATTAACAAAAGAAATTTTAATCTTTGTGCAAAGTCAAAACCATGTTTTCCCCTTTTCTTCACCATATCATGGATAGTATTTGTAAAACTTCCTTTAGGTGCCAGTACTGTGGCACAGTATGCTGTCACCACTTACAACACTTCTATCCCATATAACAGTGTTTGTTCTTGTCTTCTTCCCTTCCAGCTTCCTGCTAATGCACGTGGGAAGGTTGCTAATGCAGACCCGAGTGTTGCGTCTCCCTGACAACTATTTTGAAAACCTGGAGTTATTAGCTCCTGGCTGCAGCCCAACCCAACTTTGATTGTTGTGGCCATTCTGCAAGTGAATCACTTCATACCTCTCCATGTCTGACACACTGCCTTTAAAAATAAAAAATCTGGGGCCGTAATTCTGGCTGCTCACTGTACCTTGGGAACATTGTTACGGTACAGTGGATTAAACCTCAAGTTAGAGCGCTGGTTCTCCTATTGGAGTGATCTGCTTCTGATCCAGCTTGTTAAGGCACTTGGGATGCAGTGGTTGATGGTGCAAGTGTTTGGACCCCTGCCAACCAAGTGGGAGACGCAGATGGAGTTTCTGGCTGCTGGTTTTCATAATGGAAGCCATTTGGGGAATGACCCAGAAGATGGAAAACTCTGTCTGTCTCTCTGCATCTTTATCTCTCTGCCATTCTGCCTCTCAAATAAAAAAATTCTGTATATGCATAATATATTGGGAACATCATGTACACATATAATTTTGTCTATTTAAAAATTATTGAATGTCATAAAATTACCGTGTTACTGATGTATATATATCACAAAGACTGGGGAATCTCTGTGCCTATGAAGCTGTATCATTATATATATATATATATATAACTAAAACAGAAAGTTTGAGACAATAGATATAAAATATTCATGATATGTTAAATAAATTATTTTCCCTCAGAAAATTTGAAGCATCACCGGTGGGAAGATGGCTCCTATTAGGTTAAAATGGAGGCATTAGACGGTGATAGAATTTTTAAAAACCATAATGAGACACATGAACATTGATGCCAATTATTAAACATTTATAATTATTATATTATTATTATATAATGTATGTTATATAATTATATATAATTATTATAATAGTCTTTATCCTTTACCTTATTATTTCTTAACAAGAACCCTGTCAATTGATGATTGATTATATAGGGGAAGTACTATGACCCCATAAGCCAATCAACCAGTATCACTTTGAAAGTTTGTAGTGAATTTTTGACTCATAGCAATATTCTTTATGCTACCCCTTTTCCATCAAAAATGCCAGACAGTTGGAACATGTCAAATAGTTGAAAGCCTAATGGATCACGCAATTCTGTTTGCAAATGTAGCACATTCCCAAATTTCCTGTGACTCATGGGAAGATGAAAATATCTGGGAAAAGAATCTCTCCTTTCTGTGTCAATTTAAGATTACTCAACTACTGGTGTCCGTAATAAACTCAACATAGATTTCTTGGATGCTATAGTCCAAAGGATTTTCTAGAATAAAATGCATAATGTTTTGTGATAATTTCACTTCATTTTTAGTATTTTCTCAATTCAGCTGTTCGGACATGGCTGCATTGTAACATCCATTAAAAAATTGGCTTGCTTTATGTTTAGACTAGTGTTCACATATTTCTGTCCACATTAGTATCACACATGATTCTCCCCATCCCTTGGTTGATCCTTCACATCCTCTTTGCTATGATGTTTTCCATCCTTATATGAATGTCTTTTGTCTCACCTTTAAGAATACAAGTAGGGTAGAGTATCTCACCACTGTATGTACTTTCAATGTCTGAGAGGCTGACACTTTTTTTTTTAAGATTTATTTATTTTTATTACAAAGTCAGATATACAGAGAGGAGGGGAGACAGAGAGGAAGATCCTCCGTCCGATGACTCACTCGCCAAGTGAGCACAATGGCCGGTGCTGTGCCAATCCGAAGCCGGGAGCCAGGAACCTCCTCCAGGTCCCCCACATGGGTGCAGGGTTCCAAAGCTTTGGGCCTCCTCGACTGCTCTCCCAGGCCACAAGCAGGGAGCTGGATGGGAAGTGGAGCTGCTGGGATTAGAACTGGTGCCCATATGGGATCCTTGGGTGTGTTCAAGGTGAGGACTTTAGCCTCTAGGCCACGCCGCTGGGCCCGAGGCTGACACTTGATAGGTTTTGAATACATGCTTACTGAACCTTCTGCCACCATTGCAACTGCATTAAAAATACTTCTCAGTGTTCACTTTTTAGGAGATCTTCCTTGGAAAAAACCACATGGACAAATGTCAGTTTTTAGAATAAGCAATAACTGCTGATCCTGGCCCCATGCAGCAAGTTGAGAATTCTTAGAAAGAGAATTGCGATAGGAAAGCAGAACATGCTGTTTGCAGCACTGATAATTACCATATCCACTTCACAGCAAGGAAAAAATAAAACGGGTCCTAACTCTCCCTAACAGAAGCCTTCATCTATTGGAAGTTGGACTTGGGAACAGAACAGATGGAAAAACATAGTTCTCCATGGAGAAAATCCTTCGAGATGAGATTGAATTTCTTATTTCTAAAGAATTGAAACAGAGCTTGATTGATGTAGTTCCTAAAAATTGCATTGATTTGGTCTCAGCTTGAACAAGCACCATAAGCAAATACTGGCAGGCAGACTGTCAACAGGTGTGACCAAGCCAGGTAGTTTTCATTTCCTTCTAGTCCTGGCGTGGTTGATCCACGGGTGAAAAAGCAGAACAGAAGGTGAGAGACTGCTGCCTCCTGAAGCATCCAAATGGCTGGTTCAGCTTGTCTGGCTCCGGCTGAGGCCTTGGGGCTCTCCTCGGCATGTGTGAAAATGGAAGCCCCAGGAGCACTATGCTAGAGATGGAAGTTGTGGTCATTGATAAATTGTCACTGCCCTTGGTGGTCATCTACCTTTCATGAGGCTCATTCTTTTTTTCGTGTGCACATTCTTTCTGTAGATGTTATGAAGATAGATTCATCCAGCATGACTGACGTGGAGGCTGTGGTCAGCAGTTTTGCAAGTTCAGCGAGGGCAGGCCGCCGGAATGCCTTGCCAGACATCCAGAGCTCAGCCGCCACAGCCGGCGGACCGGAGCTGCCGGTGCAGCTGGCCGCCCTCTCTGTGAAGGAAGGTAATATGCAAAAGCCTCTGAAAATCAGTGCTTTTCTCTTTTCTTCCTCAGTCCTTTTCTCTGGAGCAGTCTTTGAACTAATGCAAGTTCTTTTTTTTCCCCCCTGGCTAAGTAGCCTTTTCAGGCTTTCTGAAGGTAGACAATCATGTCTGTGTCGAAATTTGGATGTGGAAGCTGAAGGTTTATTTATTTAGTAGATGTGTGTAATCATGCACAGCTCGAGTAACTGGCAATACAGAGGTGAATAAAATCATGTTTTCCTCAGTGACCTTACAATGGACATTCAGAAATAAAGCCATGCTTCTACTGCCATCCACTGATGACTCACCAGGAGAATTTTCACACCACATTCATGTTCCACTATGCCTTTCTACTTGCATTGAGGAAGAAGCTTGTTACTAATTAGGGATCAGATTTTAAAAAGGATTTTTTTTTGCATGTGTGAAAGGTGATTATTCTTCAAGCAGTGGATTTATTTGCACTAAGAAAAAGGATAGCCATCAATTAATGAAAAGGAAGCCTTGTGTTTTTCTCACCATTGTCTACATACAATTTGTATAGCTTCCAGGGTTTAGTTTTCTGAAAAGAAGTATAGGAATACTTTGAGCAGAGTATTAAAAGACTTTCTTTATTCAAAAGCATAAGCAAAGATTGCAGGGAATTTTAACTCCAAGTTGCTACCCAAATGTGCCATATGCTCTGATTTGTACTCTAGACTCTCTCTCTCTCTCTCTCTCTCTCTCTCTCTCTCTCTGTGTGTGTGTGTGTGTGTGTGTGTGTGTGTGTGTAGGTGTAGAAATCTATCCTTGGTGACAGTGGAACAAGAGAATGTGAGAAGTTGCTACACGTTCCCCCTATTCATGAGAATCCAAGAAGAAACTTTGGTTCTTAGCCTCAGAAAGTTATTTACTACCTTGTAAAGATACAGATGTTCCTGGGTTGATCTCTATAAAATACTTGCATTCTTGTTAGGCCAGAAAATATGGACAGATCTTAGAGTCCCATAATTATCTCATGTTTTTCCTCAGATCGTTATAGTTTTCATTTGAAACATACAATTAACAATTAAAAAAAAAAAAAGAAAAACTGCCAAACATGAACAAAAAGCATTAGTACAATGAAAGATGAGAAAACTATAGGGGAGAAGATAAAATATTCATGATATTTTTGACTTTTAATTTGGAAACTGTAATTCAACTCTCAGAACATCATAGCATTGCAGAAGTGCCCTATGATTATTCTAAAGAAGGAGAAGATAATCACTCTCCTTTCATATAAAAACTCTAATTAAAAGTTTCTATAACTTGTAACAACGTGGAGAAAACCTGTCAGGGGGATTGGAGTTTGTGGGGGTGTAATACCAAATAAAATTAAAAAAAAAAAGTTCTCAATATGATTGTAGCGATGGTCATGCAACTTTGAAAGCAGATTTTAAAAACTGGATTTTGAAGTTTAGAAAAAAGTTTATATAACTGAAGAATACACACACACACACACAAACACACACACACACAAACACACACACACACACAAACCTTTATGCTTCCTGAAACAGTCAGACAAAAGGAAATAGATTTCCTGTGGCTGAGACAGTAGTCCTCCCTATTTTGTTTTGGTTAGACAATCAAAATAAATTTTGGAAGAATATCAATTCTTGTTTTTATCTTATTCTTTATATCATTTTGAAATAAAATTAAAGACATCAATTAATAAGCTCAAAGTGTTAAAAATAACTAATTCTATATATTCCTTATTAGGTCTATATGTTCCTTATTAGGTCTATATATTCCTTATTAGCTAAACATGAACATTACTTCAAATTTAGAAATAGTTTCATTATTAAAAATTGTTAGTGAAAAAAGTAAAAGTTGGGATATATCTCATAAATTGTGGTTTCAATGCCTCGGTCATTTGGAAATACAAATTTTGGAAATCAATATTTGGTATTATGGTTAAATAGATTTAGGTATCCACCTCCGATACCACAGTGCCTGGTTTGAATTTAGCTTTTCCCCTTCAATTCAGATGGCAAATGCCATAAGATGATTTTGGAGAGCTAAAGAGAGAGCTAGATCTTGTGGAGTTTCAGAAACTTGGGTTAAAAAATAGGCTTTTGGGTGAGGGGATTTCAGCAGGCAAGTATGGTGACATCTCAGTTACATTTAAAACACTAACTCTGTCTGTTTTTTTAAATAATGCATTGCAGTGTTTGACCAGGTGGCTAGGGTAAAAGGAGCTTTTCAGCATGGCAGCTGCGAGGGGTGCCAGAGCCAGGCCAGACCCCAATGCTTGGGACTTAGGCCAAGGTCACTGCTGCCATGCTGAGTCCTAGGCTTTGGATGGTGCCAGTTTCTGTCTGCTGGCCACTTGGTGGAGAGCTCTAGGGTTTAGAGGGTATGTAATTGCTGCCTAGGGATATCCATTTGATGAGGCTAATGTGATTGTAGGGGAAGGATGAATCCTGTGTGACTTACAGCAATGGGGTCATGGAACTTGCTCACAAGTGAGGGGACTGAGACCTGGTGGTTTGCGGGGAAGAGTCCATAAGATCTATTTGGGCAAGGCTGAATCACCAGCCCACAAGGGGAATCACGAGATAAGGTGTTAGCATAGAGCATCACAGACTGCCACACACCAGTCCACACAAAAGCTATGTCTGGGGGCCTGTCTGGCAGGGTTAGGTGCCAGTACCTGACTGAGTGGTGGAATAGAGGATGGGTCACACTTCACAGGTCAAGACACTAATCAGCATGTGAGAGAACCAGGCCTGGGGGTAGATTCTGTGGGGAATGTGTAGGCCTAACCTTTGTGGAAATACAAGTCATGCTAGTTAGTTCAAGAGTTGGGGTGGTGATGGGCTGAGCTATGTGTGACATGGGACCTACCACCACTCATGGGTAAAGGAACTGACAACAGTCTGGGCAGGTCATGGCAGTAGCACCTGAATGTGCATCCTAAAACAGGTTGTGGGGTGGGCTGGGCTGCAACTGGAAGGGGTTGGACTGGCAGGACCAAGAAAACCTTAGCTCACAAGGAATAACAGAAATCAGGCTGGAGCACAGGTCATGCTGAGCTATATTCTTACACCAACTGGCCTGCATGCGCCAGGGATGCTAAGCCACAGCATTGAAGGCAAAGGCCAAATCCGGTGAAGGGCTATACTGACTGGGTCAGAGCAACCACTGGCATTTGCATAATCCATGGCTGGGAACAGGCCAGTTGGGGAGCTATGAGAGTACACCTTTGTTGGGTTGGGGTTCCCACTGATAAGTGCAGGAGCTGGGGTGGGGGCCGTGTTCTGATCTGGGTGTGTTTGCAGTCTCCCTTGGCACAAGTGTGAACTGAGGCTGGGCGCACTGATCCGGGCTAAACTCCAACACCATCTGGTGTTCGTGAGAACTAGGATAGATGTAGGACGAACTAGGCTATGTCTGTGCATCTACTGAGCCATGTGTGAGCTGTGTCTGAGAATGGACGAGCTGTGGCTGGGCTGGAACATCCAACAGCAAGAACCAGATTGGGTTGTAGGACAGTCAGGAAAGGCCACTGTTACTACCAGGACAGGAGGTGGACTAAATGCCCATGGACCCACTGGCATGCACAAGATCCGGCAATGGGAGAGGTTTTGATGGAGGAGCTTGGGAAACTCCTCTGTTGGGACATAGTCCCTGTAGGTGAGCACAACAGCTACATTAGGGAGCAGCCCAGACCAAACCAGGGAAAGGAACCAGTGGCTTACATTAGGCATGCGTCGGGGAAGACCAGGCTGAGCCAGTTCACTTCAACCGCTGGCGACTCTGAGGACCAGAACAGTGTGGGTTGGGGCAGGTATGGTCGCAACACATGCCAGTACATATTACAGCTGGGATTGGGTGCCTGCTAGGCTGGGTCAAGCTGTAACCCTCACCAGCATGAGCTGGAATTTGGGGTGGGCCAGGCCAAGCCAGGCCAGGCTACAACACCTACTGGCAAAAGTTGCGGCGAGGCAGGCCATGCCAGACTAGACCTCAACACCTAAAACAGCACACATGAGAACCAGGAGAGGAGGAGGCAAAGCCAGCAGGGGGAATGTTGTGGGCTCCCCTACTGGACTGCCCCCCACTGGAAAGTGTGAGTTGAGATTGGGGCAGACCAGACCAGACAGTGCTATAACTCTTGTAGGCTTCATGTGAGATAGATCAACGAAAAGCCAGGCTGGGCTGACTGTTCCTACTGGTGCAAGCATAAATCAGAGAGGGAGACGGTTGGTTGGGCTTTGCCGCAGCATCAGCTGGCACATGCTGACACTGGGGGCAAATTCTGTCAAGTTTAACTGCAGAACCACCTGGAGAATGCATGATTTGGGAGTGGGCAAAGTAGGAAAATAGTGCGCACCTCCTCTTGGGTTAACACTGCCAATGCAGAGCATGAAAACCATGATTGGGGCAGGGGTGGCTAGACAGAACAGCACCCACCAGTATGTGTGTGGGCTGGATAGTGGGGCTGCTTGGGTTGAAGTAGGCTTCCATGCCCAGTGACATGTATGAGAGCTAAATGGGATGTGGGACAGACTGAACCAATCTGCTGTACATACTGGCAAGCATGGGAACCAGGGTGGGGCAGGCCTGGCGGAGGATATGGGGACTAACCCCAACTAGGCTTCAGCTCCCACTGGTTTGCATGAAGGCCAAGTGTGAAGTGGACACAATTAGGCTTGACTGCAACACCCATTGGTTCATGTAGAAGACACAGCTGGAAACAGAACTGACCCAGCAATTGCAACCACCAGAATATGCATAAGCCAGTTGGGGCAATGGACTGTGCTGGACTCTGTACTGGCAAGTACACATAAGAATCAGGTCTGGGATCACCTCAGATAAAGTTTCTTTGGAGATCCCTCCAACTGAACTGCTGATCTTAGAATCCCAACCATGAAGAGACTATGTCAGCCAGTGATTTCTGAAGAGACTTCATTGTGCATGGAGTGGCAAGATTGGCAGCAATTCAGAACTGTTGAACTATCCAAACTGCTTGAGCAGGACCCTTAGAGCATGCCTCACATTGGTGATCAAGGAAGGGTGGAAGGCTGGGTGGGGTTTCTCCCTTTATTTCTCCCCTTACCCTAGATACAGAAAAGAAAATTATATTATTGTGTAAACAATGGTCTTACCCACTTTCCTGTAGCCCTTGACCCTTTCTGCCTTAATTAACTATGTAAAGATTATACATAAATAAATAAGTTAAAAATGCATTGCAGGAAAACAATAGTGAAAATAAAATAGGAGATGCAGTCATCACTATGAAACCTTTTGAATCAAATGAGATATTTTTACTCAAAACAAGACATGTTCCAGTACACTCAGGAGTATACACAGGAGAAGCACAGCAGGCGAGGAAGGCGGCATCACACAGTCTTTCCTGAGAGCCCTGTAGAAACGTGCACACACACCTGCCGCTCCGTCTCTGTGTCACTCCTCTCCCTATGCCACCAATTGAGGACTCAGTTTCAAATGGTTAAAAGCATTATGAGTGAGGGTAATGGGCTCATCTACACAAAGATCCATCTCCTACACGAGCAAATACATTGAGACAAGTGCTTAGAAACTGCTTCCTAGATTTCCCGTGTGAGATATGCTGACTTACAAGAGTCACAGCCTATCAGAAAGCCCATTTCTACCATTCGTACTTCATAGCTGGTTTCTCTCAGTGTGGTTGTATTTTACTATTTTGATTGTATTTATCATAAATTTGTAATTAGGCTAACATTCCAATGCAATGTAGTTTCTGGGGAATCAAGTCAGAAATTTAAACCTGAGTCTAATTTGTCTTTAGAAGAGGAGACAGGGTTGTTAACCTTTATCTGCGTAATGGGTGGAGTTGTTCAGTGAGCAATAGCAGAAGGATGGCAGGCAGGGTGGATAAAGGTTCTGGATTATGGATAGCTTTTGTAGACTGAGTTAATACAGCAGACTGATGTAGTAAGATGAAGAAATGACTAAGATTGATATCAAATGGGGCATGGTGATGCTGTAAACGGAGGAAGATCAGAAGGTTTGGAGTGTGAAGATTTCTATTTCTCTCCTGCTCCCACAAAATATCTAGATGGGCATGCTGTTTTAGTAGGTGAATATGTAGGCCTCAGGGCCTGAAACAGGGAAAAGCTTTTAGAGATGTATGTTTTTGAATATTTAAATATGTACTTTCAAAATGTATTTTATATGGTAACAAATAACCATTGCAAAAGAAATTATACCGGACAGCCACATGGGTAAATTAACTATTCAGTAAAGGTGCAAGCAGGGCATGTAAGAGAAGGAGTCTTAGAAAGTCTCCTCTTTGGGTGTATAGTTATGACATATCATAACTAAGCCTCAAGCAGGTGTGACTTGCTCAAGCTCACAAACACCTTCAATTTTCTCACTATGTCAACTTTTCTTAATATTTCATGGAAATGTTTTGTATATGTACGTAATTTGTATGAGTTCATACAAGGAGGGTGCAGTCACCAAGTAAGTTTGAAGTTGCTGCTTTAGATAGAATCAATTGTTTATACTTATCAGAATTTTTTTTTCAAACCAAACATGTTAACATGGTATTGTGCCCACAACTCTGTGGATGGCATGTAAAGCATTATTTTACTTCATTTACTTGAGGCAAAAGCAACTTGGGAGGTATTTTTTTAAATGTTGCACTATACTTCTAGAGTCCACAGGGAAAGAAAAACAACTTTTGATACAATGAAGAGTAGGATCCAAGGACAGATGCTTGGGTAGGAGGGATTTTATGGGACACGCAGAGACTTAACGTAGTTTTATTTGAAAGTGTAGATCCTTAAAGACGGTATAAAAGGATGAAATAGGGGACAGTGCATGGTAGAATTGCTACTGAGAGAGAGTCTTTGCTAGTTTTTAAAGGTAGAAATTAAGAAAACGAAAGAGCCAGGAGAAAGGGAAAAACCAAAGCCATCTTGAGTTTTTCATAATCTGTAGTTTATTTTACTGGTTGCCACCACTTTATGTAGCCAGTGCTGAGGAACACATCTTCCACTGCGATGGGAAAAAGGGCAGGAAGAATAAGCACGGATCTCCTGGTATAGGCACTTAATGGCAGGAAGTTTGGGAAACTCCAATCTGTTAGCTTTGCCTTCTTCCCTGTGAAGTAAAAGGTGAGGTGCTCTCCTCAAAGCCAAGGCCACAAGAAGAGTGAAGAGTCTGGAGAGAGTGATCCAGCTGAGGCGGATGTCCAAGGGAATCCCCGACGGCTGGGAGTCCAGGTTTGGTTGCCACAGATGGTGAGCCCTGAGTCTTTGGGCCACTTACATATTTGCATTTTCGTTTACTAACCTCTAATCAGAGGTTGCAACAAAACTTTAGAGGAATATCAGACACTTAATAGCTCTGCAACACAGGAAAGTCCATGAGGACGATGTTATTTTCTAGGCCTATTAATCTCGCTCTTCTTTGTAGTTTCAATATTGGAACTTAGGGTTTATGTTGTAGTCAGGATGAAAGTGACTAGGTTGGGTAAATGAAATTTCACTAAAGTATAAATTATACTTCACAGTAAATTTCATATATGAACAGAAAACTGTTTTTTGTTTGTTTAGATGTAAAGCAAAAAGATGAAGAAACGACACCAGGCCAATTGGAAAACTCCAAAAAAGAAGAAAAATGAAGACTCATAATTTATCAAGAATACTGAATGTACGCAGAGTAAAAGATTTAATGATTGTTTTTTCCTGAGATGTGCTGGTGGTAACTATGGTAACGTTGAAGCCTTAGCAACATGGGTGTACTGGATAATTTTGTTGCAAAGCTGCCTGCTTGGATTCCAATAACGATGTCCAATGTAGGCTGTTAGAAGATAGGTTAACTGCCAAACTGCATCCAAGAGAAAGGTTAAGAGTGAACGGTCACTTAAATGTACAGCACTGTCTATATACTCAACAAAATCAACTGTTGCTTTCTGGAGGTGTTTAGCTAGATGCATTTTTCACTCCATTTACATGGCTACAGCCAAACCATTTCTTGATTGATGTGAATCAAATGCCACTAATTTGAAATTATGTAGAATTTGTAGGAGATTAAGATACGGTGAGAATGATAGAATAGTGAAAAATCACATGGGTAGCATGTGTTTGTTTTTAACCATGCATTTGATTTTTCCTCTACTCTCTAAAAACAATTTGAAAAATTTGTAATGTGGACATCATAAACACCTCTAGGATGTTTTGTGTGAGATATTCTGCTTCTGGTATGTGCATACTGTGATTTTTTTCATGTGTAACCTTCAGATGTAAAATTTATCAAAAAGTACTTATATTTTGCATATAAATAATTGAGTGAATTTCACTATCTTTAGCTTTGGGGTATCTATGTGTATATGTTTCACGTTAATGTGAATTACACAAAATATTTTACTTGTTGCTTTACAGTCTTATTTTGGGAAATTTGTGTGTGTGTAACTTGTTTTCAAGATAATTTCCTCAGGAATGCAGACCTTAATTTTGATATTTTTCCCAAAGTAGGTAAAATAACTGTAAACATATTTAGTGAACGAGAAGATAGAAAAATATCTGCTTTTACTATATATTTAAGTATATATTTTAAAAGAAACAAAAACAGAACCAAAGCTTTAGTACATTGTGATTTATTAGAAATTTTAGGAAAATAATTCTGAATTTTTAAAAAAATTTTGAATAGTGAATTTATTTTCATTTTCAGAGATGTATGCATGAAGTTATATTTTATTTAATTGTTGATTTAGGCCAGTCTGTATATAACAACCAAGTAAAGTCTTTCATTATTAAAGCCATTTGTTACTGATGCATGTCTCCTTGACTTTATTTTCTAAAATATGCAAGATCAAAAAAGAGTGACTCATTTTTGAAGGATGAAAGCAGGAATCTTTTTTTTTTATTTTTTTTTAAAGATTTATTTTTATTATTTTTTCATTGGAAAGGCGGATATACAGAGAGGAGAGACAGAGATTCACTCCCCAAGTGAGCGCAACGGGCCGATACTATGCCGATCCGAAGCCAGGAGCCTCTTCCGGGTCTCCCACGCGGGTGCAGGTTCCCAAAGCTTTGGGCCGTCCTCGACTGCCTTCCCAGGCCACAGGCAGGGAGCTGGAAGGGAAGCGGGGCTGCCGGGATTAGAACCGGCGCCCATATGGGATCCCGGGCGTGCAAGGCGAGGACCTTTAACCACTTGCGCCACCGCGCCGGGCCCGAAAGCAGGAATCTTAACAGAGACAAGGAATCCTGCTAAGCTACTGTTACATTCTACAAACCTTACAAGGCAGCTCTATAACAAAGAATCATCTGTCAGAGTGCTAGGGCTTAGAGACCCCATATACTGTTATCTGTATTTTAATTCTGGCTCTTCTTCTTCCTAGCTTTGTAGTCTTGGGTAGTCTATGTCATATCTGTAATTCTTATTTTTCTCCTCTGTGGAGTGGTATTAATTATGGCAGAAGTGGTAAATGAGATACTGTGTAAAAATACTGAGATAGCTGGTGCTGTGGCATAGTAGGCTGTGCCTTTGCTTGTGGGTCTAACATCACATGTGGGCACAGGTTCATATCCCAGCTGCTCCACTTCAGACCCAGCTTCCTGTCTGTGGTCTGGGAAGGCAGTAGAAGATGGCTTAAGTTCTTGGGCCGCTATATCCGTGTGGGAGATCTAGTCAAATCTCCTGGCTTCTGTCATTGTGGCCATTTTGGAGAGTAGATCAGCAGTTGGAGGATTTCTCTTTCTGTTTCTCCTACTCTCTTTAAATATTTCCAATAAACAAATAAAAAATTTAAAAAACAAAGTAATTGCCCAATAAATATTTTTATCACTATCACCATGATGTTTTATTTTAGACATTTACTATTTTTCTCTTGTATCAGAAGTGAGGAGACAGCTGAATTTATTCATTTGGATGTTTTTTGCTTTCTTTTATGACTGCACAACCCTTCCCAGCTTTCAGTGCTATGTAAAAACTGATGGAAAAATCAAGTATTGATAATTTCAACATTAGCATAAATTCAGTGATGTTAACCAATGGCTGTCAAGTGATGAGATGTATTTATTTTTTTATTAGAAAGGCATAATCACAGAGAAATGAAAGAGAGAGAGAGAGAGAGAGAGAGAGAGAGAGAGAGAGAGAGAATCTTCCTTCTGTTGATTTACTCCCCTAATGGTTGCAACAGCTGGAGCAGAGCTGAACTGAAGCCAGGAACGTGAAGACTCTTCTGGATCTCCCATGTGGGTACAGGGGCCCAAGGACTTGGGCCAGCCTCTGCAGCTTTCTTGGGGCATAGCAGGGAGCTGGATCAGAAGTGGAGAAGCAGGGCTTCACATATGGTATGCATTTGAGATGCCAGTGCCACAAGGAGAGGTTTAGCCAGGTAATACCCTGTGCTGGCTGCAAGTATTACCTTTTAATGATGAGTCATCTCGCTGGCGTGTTGTAAGACAGGTACTGCAACAAAACAGATTCTGAGTCAGTTTTAACACAGCTCTTGTATAATAGTGTTATGTGGTATTTTGTGTCCTTTAGAAGACTGAAAGTGAATCTTTGTCTTTCCTCTTTACTGCTGATAGTGACATACATTCTGGATGTAATTTAGCCTAAATCATTTATCCATCATAATGCACAGAAGAAGCCCAATTATATACATCTAGTATTCTATGTTACACAAGAGCAAATTTGTTGACTATAACATATTCTAGGAAAACAACTACAACGTTGTTTTCTTCGGCGCTCACAGGAAAATGAGAGCTAACAATCAGCAGTAAAAGCAAAATTGGAGCTGCCCATCCGCTGTTTGAAACATCTAGCTCTTTTGGATAAGCTATGGTATTCTGTGACAGTGAGTAGACGCTTTGAACAAGCTGTCTCCTTGGGGCCACCGAAGAATGTCTCCATGCCCATTTTTACTATTGTCTTTATGCAAGCTGCCTGCCGAGGTCAACAGCTATAAAGCCTTAATTATTACTCTTGGGCAAGCAGGCCAAAAGAGACAATTAAAGCCACAAAATATCTGCCTGAAAACTGAACTCTGCATGAAAAAAGAGAAAGAATGAAAGGATTTTGTTCTGTGTCATGTGCCCAGAGATATTTTAGTGAATTGACTAGGACAAACCTGGCCCTTCTTAGAACATGAGTGACTCTATGGGGAGAGATCCTACTTGGAGAAGGAAATACCTTCAATTTTATGGTTCAGCTGGCTTTAGCATCTTGGGCAGATGATGAGAAAAGAGAGTGTAAAACTTATTTATTTGCCATGTCTATTGAAGTCTGACTCTTCCAGGTACAATTTACAGCTCTGCTGCTTGCTCTCATGACTTTATTTAGTTATTTTGCTGTCTCTGCTTCAATTTCTCCTTGCATGAAGTGACTAATTATTATGAAAATTGAATAACTAGGTACTATTAAACTGCTCGGGATAATGACTGACCCACAGCAGAAGCTATTATTGTTGTTTGTCAGAGCACAGAGTGGTAGAGGCTTTAAGGCTTTAATCTTGGATTATTTCGTGTTATTTCTCAAAACAGATTTCCACTTACTCATTTGCTCTCATTTCTTACCATTAGCAGCATCTCCCCAGCTACAATGAGGACTGATTTATCAAAAGGTTCACTCTTTTCTTGAAGTTGCCTGTGATAACACCCAGGATGCAAAAATCTGCAGCTATTTTTTAAGATAGACACATCAGCCAAAAGAAAGGATAGAAGCAGGGGCAATTGTAACCTGTTAAAAATCCAGGAATAGATTCCTTACTGGAATGTAATGACTGGTCATTCCTCAGCACGTAGCAGACCCTTTTGAAACTTCATCAAACAATCAGGCAAAACAGTTGCTTATGGTTGTCATTTTACAAATGCATCAAGGGAATTCAGAGATAGCGTCTAGGAATTCACATGAGGGAGCAGACATAGAGTCTAGAACAGGGATCCAACCATGAAGTGTGATACCTCTCTTGTACGAAGTGGGCCCCTTTGCATCCACAACTCATCCATGACTCCTACTAATTTGTCCAAATTCCTAAAATGATTGAAATGTAATATAGGAATAATAAGCCATGACTTGTCATAAGGGGTTGATATTGTAGCACAAGCAACTTTGTTTGACATGTATTCATTCACCTGTTCAATTGTTCATGCTTTACGTTACACTAGGAAATAATTCATATGGAAACAAAATTACCATTTAATTTGCAGCTAGCTTGGAGGACGCTGAAAAATGAAAATGCAGTAAGACGCATAGAGCTCTTTTGAGTAGGAGGTAGTACAGTACCTGGAAGAGAAATGGGATGATAGGAGTCGGGATGTGAAGGGATATGTTTACTGCACACAGACTTGACTGTTTCCCATGTGGCCTGGAGCTGTCCGTGATCATAAAAGGGCCATGCTGGTGTCCTAAGGGAAATTCAGGAATAATGTAGCAGAAACTAACAATGGGTATCTTAATGAAAGGTGACATAGGTGAATGAAATAACTTCACCATTCCATGGGAGTATATCTCATAGGCTGAGTACTGTTTGTGTTACTCAAGGATGGGCAGCCTCTGAAGGGCCAGTTCACATCTCTGCAGGGGCTTCAGGGAACCATTCTTCTGATGGCAAATAATTTAACAAGTGAGGGGGGAGGGAATTTATCCACTTCAGTGTCCATGGAATTAACTTTGAAACTTCTGTGAAGTTCTCATGATGATTTACAAATAGCAGACATTCAAATATTTCTGTTTTGTTGTACATTTTTCACCTAAATTGATTTGCTTTACAAATCTTCTTTTTTTGATATCATAAAGTTGTGGAGGACAGTAGAAGAGAAAACATGAAACACCAGTGATGAAATATGGATTTGGTTCTGCAGTTTCACCTAAGCGTATTGTTTAAGACAAATTATTTTCCTGACTTCAATTTTCATTTGTGACAAGCACTCGAAATGGACACTAGATGGTGCTCAAATCACACATCTTACTGACCTCACAGATTTAGAGAAGATTCAAGTTTCCTGCTTGTGTTACAAATTCAGCTACATGTGTCAGGGTTATTGTAAATCAAGACAAAATGACAACCACAAAAATACAGTATTTCAAATAACTTTTCCAAAATACAATTGGAGATGGGAAGTGTGCTGGTCTTGACCATTGCATTTTTAGTATATCCTATGGTTTTGGGAAACAAAAGAGGGTGCTGTAATATACACTTGTTAGGAATATAAAGGCTGCATTTTTTTTCCTCCCAAGCAACATTGAGTTTCTTTTTCTACATAGCAGGATCAACTTTTTAAAAAAGTTTAAGAGAGCTAAGGACAATGTCTTATTAATTAAAATATGATTGCAAGCAGTTCTTAATTATCTCCCCGAATAGACTTGTGATGTGTTTGAAATTAAGAGTACTATTTTCAGCTGTGACTTTCGGACTTTGAAAGGCTTCTGGCAGCTTCAACTCAAGCCAGCGGTTTGTGAATATATAACTTTATTCTTTACTTAGGTCCAACTATCTCCTATGGCTTAACAGCTTCTTTGTCCACTTAGGAGAAAGACTCATGAAAACAGTTCCTGCTTACTGTCTGATGGAGAATAGAGCATGTTCGCTGGACAAGAGGTTTCATCTTCAGTGAGACGCCCTCGTGGAAGTTGGTAGTGAGGGTAGGCAATAGATAGCACTGCTTGATGCACTATTTTCCATGTTTTATGTGTTTTAGCTTACTTAATTCATATGATAGTTCTGAGTGTGAATAAATGGGCCCACAGGCATGCTTGCCAGAGCTCATTGTAGCCCATGTCAAAGCCAAGCTTTAACACAAGCTGTTTGATTTCAGCATC